GGGGACATTCGGCCCTTTGAAGCCTGCTTCACCATTCAATCCGATCATGGCTGATCATCCATCTCAGTGCTCTGGTTCCCCTTTCACCCCATACCGTTTGATCCCTTTAGCCTTAAGAACTATCCCTGATGAAAATGGGATTAGAAAAGCAAGGTGCTTGTTTTTGACTGGTAAGCCATGATGGGTCAACGGGCCTGTTTCTGTACTGAAAACTCAGTAACTATATCTAATTCTGCACCTTCACCACTGGGGATCTGTCCTTGAAAAGTCATGTCCGTGTGCAGTATGTGTTGGGGTCATTACTTTTGCTGCTTGGGATTTAATTGATGCCTGAATTTTCTCTCTCCTCCCCAGTCCCCGTGAGCTGCCCATCCATCAGCTCAGATCTGATGGGGTCCGCTTTGTCCATTGGTGACCACTTAACCGTCCGGTGTACCTCCGAAAATGGGACACTGCCTATAAACCTCATGCGATACCTTCATCACCACCATCTCCTGAGGAACACGACAGTTGTTGACTCCAGTACAGCCACTTTCCATGTCACCGTGCCACCTGAGGTGGAGGGCGCTGTGTACTCCTGCGGTGCTGCAAATGCTGTTGCCCACAGTATCAACTGTAGTGAGCCGCTCGCTCTCACTGTGTCAGGTATGGATCAAAATGGAAGAAGCCATCAGTTGTAGATTGCCATGTTATCTGAGGGGACACTCGAACCTTTTACCCAGATATCCGAAGGGTGGCACAGTGCCTCAGTGGTTAGCACTGCTGCCTCACAGTGCCAAAGTCCTGGGTTCAAATCCAAACTGGGGCGACTGTCTGTGTTGAGTTTGATGTTCTCCCTGTGTCTGTGGGGTTTCTGCCAGGTGCTCTGGTTTCCTCCCACAGCCCAAAGATATGCAGGTTAAGTGGATTGGCCATGCTAAATTGCCCATAGTGTTCAGGGGTATGTTGGTTCGGTGCATTAGCTACAGGAAATGCAGTGTTATAGGGATGGGGATGGGTCTGGGTGGGATGCTTCGACACTGTAGGGATTCTATGATTCTACGATATCCTGTGGACCAAAGGTGGGGAACTGACTCAGTACCTAAATAAACTAACCCTTCTTTACTTCACCCTTTAGATACCAGCACTCAACAAAAAGAATACATTCACTTCTGAGTTCATCTAACTTAACTTCAGCTTTAACTCACTTCATTTAGCTTCACTTTGCTTGATTTAATTCACATTTAACCCGAACTATTCATTTGGCTGGAATCGAACACTAGCTCGGTTTAAGTGAAGTGGTCAAATTTGCTTTTCGTGCAGATCTTGCCTCGTGATTCTCTGTCCTCTCCGAAGATCACTTCAGGGCACATACTTTGCGAATGTTGGTCTCCAGAGCTCCCCCTGAGAAATCCTTTGTTCTGCTCACTTTATCTCAAAGTTCCTTCCAGAAACTTCCCTGGCTCTCAGCCAATGAATTAACCAAACCCTGATCACATTGCTTCATCCCAGCTAGCAATGTTTTACTGAGTCAATGAGTCATAGAGCACAGAAACAGGCCCTTAGGCCCAACTCATCCATGCTGGCCAGTTTCCCAAACTAAACTAGTCCTGTTTGCCTGCATTTGGCCTTTCTCCCTCAAAGCCTGTCCTATTCATGTACCTATTGAAACATCTTTTAAATGTTGTAACTGTACATGCACTTACCACTTCCTCTGGTAGTCCATTCTATACACAAATCACCCATTGCGTCAAAAAGTTGTCCCTCAAGTCCCTTTTAAATTTTTCCCCTCTCAGCTTAAACCTGTGCCCCGTAGTTTAGGAATCCCCTACCCTGGGGTAAAGATCTTTCTTTTTCACCCTGTCTATAATCCTCACATTGGGTCACCCCTCAACCTCCTATGCTCCACGGAAAACAGTCCCAGCTTATCCAGCCTCTCCTTGTAATTAAAACCCTCCAGCTTCAGTAATGTCTATGTTAATCTTTTCTGCATCCTTTCCATTTTAATAATATCCTTCCTACAGGAGGGCAGCCAGAATTGTGTACAGTAATCTAAAAGTGGCCTCATCAATGTCCCGTAAATGCGCAATATGACGTCTCAACTCTATAATCAGTGGTTTGAGCAATGATTAAAAATTAAGCTGTTTAATATAGCTGTTAAACAGCTATATTCCATGTTCTGTGTGAGATACGATGGTCTGTCATGGTGACCACCTGACACTTGCCTTATTTGGTCAACACAGGAAACTGCAGGTCCTGTCCCCGCTCCCCCTGTTTCGTTCTTGTTCCTTTAATGAGTGGGAACAGCTTCTCCCTATCGACTCTGTCCAGTGCCCCCGTCTCATGATTTTGAAAATCTCTAAAAATTCGCAACTATCTTGCTCAATTCTCATCACTGAAGTTTCTCCAGCCTGGAACCATTCATGTAAACTGCTCCTGCACTCTCTCTCTGTAATGCAGTCATATCTTTCCTATAATGTGGCACCCACAACTAGACACAATACTGCAGCTGAGGTCTGACCAGTGTCTTGTACAACTTCATTTCCCTGCTGTCTGATTTTATGCCCTTTTTCATAAAGTCAAGGACACTGAGCTTTATTAACTGCTCTCCCTCTGTCCTGCCACTTTAATGATCAGTGCAGATATATCCCCAGCTCCCTCTGCTCCTACACCCCCCTTTACAGTTGTACCCCGCTATTTTATATTGTCTTTCAACATTCTTCCCACCAAAGTGCATCACCTCACACTGCATGGAACTGGACCTGCCACTAATCTGCCCACTCCACCAACCTGTCAATGTCCTTTCGGAGTTTCACACTGTCTTCCTCACGTTTACAATTCTCCCATGTTTTGTGTCATTTGCAAACTTGGAAGTAGCCCCCCAGTACAGCAAGAAGTATTGGGTGAAGTAAGAGCCCTAAAGCCATTCCCTGGGGAGTTCCACTAGAAACTTTTCTCCACCCCGAAAAATATTCATCGACCATCACTCTCTGTTTCCTGCCACTTGGTCACTTTCGAGTCCATATTTTTATGGTCTTTAGAATAGAAATTCCCGCCATTAGCAGGGGGGAGCTTGTATCTTAACTGCAGGCAGGGTGTTCCTGATGACTTGGGGGAACAGTCCAGAAGCGGGGGGGTCACAGGCTAATGGAGATGGGGTAGGATTGAGATGAGGAGAAAGGTGATCACCCAGAGAGTGGGGAACCTGTGGAATTCTCTACCACAGAAAGCCAAAAGACATTTGTCTGTGTAGATTTAGAACAAATGAGGAGGAATTCACTCCCCCAGAGAGTGTGTGGTGGGTGCCGGGACACTGAATAAATTTAAGGTGGAGGCAGATTTTTAATCAGTGACAGGTTAAAGGGAGTGAGGGCAGGGAAGTGGAGTTGAAGCAGAGATGAGATCAGTCACAGTTGTATTGAATGAGAGGGTTTGAATGTCCTACTCCTGCTCCGAACCCTTACATATCTGGCTGCCTTCGCATCCTCCACCAATTCAATGGTTTCAGTTTCCTGCTTTCTCACCTGAAGTATTAAATTGAGTGACTTTGCGACAATCAGAGTGATCTTTGGTTTTGCTAATTCTGTGTTCCAGATCCCTCTGGGAAATTTGCTCTGCTGGTCTGAGGTTCTGCTGTTGCTGCCATTCTCCTCATTGTTTTCCTGCTGCTGTTCGCTGTCTGAAAACTCCATCGAAAAGAGAGACATCAGGCCACCTCCAGTTCCCAACCCAGGAGAGGTCAGTTTGTGACTGGGTGCAGGCTAAAGGAGATGGGGAAGGATTGAGATGAGGAGAAAGGTCATCACTCAGAGAGTGGGGAACCTGTGGAATTCTCTACCACAGAGGGATGAAGGATATGTTTCCTTGTACAGGTGCTGGTAAAAGTAGGGATCGGTGCTTGGTCCGCTGTTTGGCATTTATATAAACAATTTGGATGAGAATTTAGGAAGCACAGTTCATACATTTGCACCAAAATTGGCAGTATGGTCGACAGTGAAGAAGGTTATCTCAGATTATCAAGAAGCTCTTGATCAATTGGGTTAATGGACTGAGGAGTGGCAGATGGAATTTAATTTGGATAAATGCGAGGTATGGCATTCTGGTAAAACAAACAAGGGCAGGACTCATACATTTAATGGTAGGACCCTGGGCAGTGTTGTTGAACAGAGAGGCCGAGGGGTTCAGTTACATAGTTTTGTGAAAATTACATCACAGGTAGACAGGGTGGTTAAGGAGATGTTTGGCATGCTTGCCTTCATTGTTCAGAGCACTGATTCTGATACCTTTCCACCTCTCCCTCCTTAGCTCCGATGGAGATTCACACTGGATCTGAAACGTTAACTGTTTTTTCTCTCTCTCTCTACAGGTGCTGCCGAACCTGTTATGTTTCTCCAGAACTTTCTGTCTTTATTAGCTACGACATTAACAGTTTTTTTTCTCTCTCTTTCTGTTTCCACAGATGCTGCCAGACCTTTTGAATTTCTCCAGCACTCTGTGTTTATAACCTGTAATGTTAACGCTCTCTCTGTCTCTGTCTCTGTCTCTCTTTTTTGAAACCTTATAATATGTGTTCTTTGTTTCAGACACCAGCAGCCCCAATTGTGATGAAATTGTGTACTCTGTTGTTCAAGCAAAGAGGAAAGAAGGAGGTAACAAGTTTCTAAATAACTTTGCATCACTGTGTCAGAAAGGAACACAAGGCTCTGTGATTACATCTTATGGGAATAGGGTCCATGTGACTGTAGGAGCAGCACAAGGCCATTCAACCCATCGCGTCTGTTCCACCAGTCAACAAGATTGCAGCTGATCTAATCATCGTAAACTCCACTTTCTCCCCCATATCCCTCGATGCCCCTTTCCAATTAAAAATCTCAGCCTTGAATATACTTCATGACTCAGCCTTGACAGGCCTGTGTAGTAAAGAATTCCACAGATTTGCTTCCCTTGGAGTGAAGAAATTCCTCCTCATCTCCATCTTCAGTGGGCGACCTCCCTTATTCAGAGACGATGCCCCTCTGGTCCCAGACTCTCCCACACAAAGGGAAACAACCTCTTTCTGCATTTCTCCTGCCAAGTCCCTCCAAGAATCTTCAATCTTCTAAACTCCAATGAGTACAGGCCCAACCTACTCAAACTCGCCCTCATCAAACAGTCCCTCCATACCTGGGATCAGATCTTCTCCAACTGCCTCCGATGCCCAGTTTATCTTTCCTTAGATATGGGGCCCCAAAACCATATCCCAGCTATTGTCTGACTAGTGCTTTGTAGATTTTTAGCAGAAACATCCCCACTTTTATACTCCACTCTCTTTGAATTAAAGGCCAACATTCCATTTGCCTTCCATATGCACAGGTTCAGTTGGCAGTTCGGAAGGTGAATGCAAACATTGCATTCATTTCAAGAGAGCTAGAATACAAGAGCAAAGCTGTACTGCTGATGTCATATAAGGCTCTGGTCAGACTGCATTTGGAATATTGTGAGCAGTTTTGGGCTCTGTATCCAAGGAAGAATGTGCTGGCAGTGTCCAGAGCAGGTTTACAAGAATGATCCCGGGGATAAAGGGCATGTCATATGAGAAGTGGTTGAGGATTCTGGTTCTGTACTTGATGACGTTTAGAAGGATGAGGGGTGATCTGTTTAAAACTTAAAGAATACTGAGATGCCTGAATACAGTGGACATGGAGAAGATGTTTCCCCGAGTAGGAGCGTAGGACCCATTGGCACAGCCTCGGAGTGAAGATACGACCCTTTAGAACTGAGATGAGGAAGGATTTATTCATCCAGAGGGTGTTGAATCTGTGAAACTCACTGCCACAGAGGGCTGTGGAAGCCAAGTCATTAAGTGTCTTTAATACAGAGATCGATATGTTCTGATTAATCAGGGGTTCAAAGGTTATGGGGAGATGGCAGCTGAACGTGGTTGAGAAAGATATCAGCCATGATTGAACGACAGAGCAGACTCCTATGGGCCAAATTCTGCTCCTATATCTTATGGTCTCTGATCACACCCGCTGAATTTAAATGCTAGCTTTTGGTGATTCACGCATGAGGACTGTCAAATCCCACAGTCCCATAGCTTTCACAGTCTTTCTCCATTTAAATAATCTTTAACTCCTCTGTTTTCCTTGTATCACATCATATTTCCCCAAGTTATATTCATCAGCTAAGTTTTTGCCCATTCACTTAACCCCATCTATGTCACTTCTCTTGGCACACTCACCACTTGCTTCCCATCTGTTTTTTGCATCACCTGCAAACTTGGCATCGCTTTACTTACAGTGAGTGTGAATCTACGATAATGTGCCTCAGAACAAAAACCCATCTGGGTTCACTAGCATCCTTCAGGGAGGGATATCTGCTGTTCTTTCCTAATCTGGCCCTGCATGTGACTCCAGACCCACAAAGACGTGGTTGACATCTGACTGCCCTCTGGGACAATTAGGGATGGAGGCAATAAATGTTGGGTCCAGTCCATGATGCCCACATCCCACAAATGGAAAATAGTATTGGCTTAATGCACATCAAAGCAGAATCAGTTCATTCAGCCCATTGATTCTGCTCTGCCATTCAATGTGATATGGGATTCCTTAGCCAACCTTGATCAAATTAGTCTTGTTTTCCTTCATCTCTCTCTCACTCATCCAACGAGCTTGAACTTCAACATTCCCTTAATCTGTGCTCTATTCCTTCAGTGTGATAATGTAGTCTGACACTTCTCCACCTAGCACAGGGACTTTCTCAAACACTCCCCCCTACTCCCACAGGGATATCTCGAATCGAATGTCTCAGTCATCAGATGGTGTGGGTATGTCAGGACTGACTGAAACCAACTTCTATCTGCACTGCTTCATGGAAATGTATCCCCCTCGTGCCTTTCCTCCTGTATCCCTGTGCATTCATTTCTATCCAACTCCACATTCACTATCCCTTTTCCATTGAACCTGCCTCCACAACATTCCCAAGCAGTACAACCTACACCCTAACGACTAGCTGGGTGAAAACGTTTATTCATCACGTTTGTCCCCCACTGCACTCTGTTTCCACATCACTGTAAATCTATGCACCATCTCCCTCTCCTCCCCAACCCGTTTTTGTTCCTTTTACACGTGCAAACAGCTTTTCCCTCAACTCTGTCCAGCCCCTGCTCACGATTTTGAAAACCTCCCTCTCTCTCTGCCTTCTCCTCTCCCAGGCAGAACAGTCCCCGATTGCTGGAGTTTCTTATCCCTGGAACCTGGTTCTTCTGAATCAATCACGCAAGCTAGCCTTTTATTCACTGACTCCATCTATACTTCCCACTGCCTCAGGAAAGCAGCCAACATAATCAAAGACCCCTCCTATACCAGTTATATTCTCTTTCACCCTCTTCCGTTGGGCAGAAGATACAGAAGTTTGAACATATGTACCAACAGATTCCAGAACAGCTTCTTCCCCATTGTTATCAGACTTTTGAACTGACCTCTCAAATGTTAAAGTTATCTGTCTCTCTCTCTGATTCTGTTCTGTGGCTGTAACACTGGATTCTGTACTTTGTTCTGCTGCCCTGATGCACTTTGTACTGTACCACCTGCCTGAAGAGCACATAAAACAACACTTTTCACTGCATCTCGGTAAATGTGACAACAGTAAATCAAATCAAGTGAAACGTGCTTCGGTGCATATTCTCTCTCTCTCTCTCTCTCTCTCTCTCGGATGCATTCATATCTTTCCTGCAATGTGGCACCCAGACTGCACGCAATGCTCCAGCTGATGCCGAGTAAGTGCTTTGCAAATCTTCAGCCTCCCCTCCCTGCTGCTGGACTCCACACCTCGATTAATAAAACCAAGTGCACTGTGTGCTTTCGTAACTACGCTGTCCCCTTGTCCTGTCACCCCCAGCCTCGTCTGCTCCTGCACCCCCTTTTCTTAAGCGACACACACCACAGTTAATGCCGAGAGAGATGGTAAATGAAATGTCTAGCCATATTGTGCACTTAAACCTTTTTTTGGTTATTCCTTCCAGGCTACGTCAGGACAAGAAGAGAGCCAGTAAGTTTTCATTGTTTCAGAGACCTTTACAAGACAAGGAGGGTGCCAGTCAGCAAAGATCTGAAAGGAACACTGCCCTTATCTTTGACCTTATCCCCTGGAGGCTATGGCAATGCAATTGTACATCTAAATACTTCTTCGATGTGATGAGGGTTTCTGCCTCTCCCACTTTTACAGGCAGCGAGTTCCAGATTCCCCACCATCCTCTGGACGAACGATATTCTCCTCAAATTTCCTTTTAGATTTAAATCCATGATGCCTGCTTACCTATCCCTCTACTTGTTGGAAATATGCCCTGCCACTATGTCTCCCACAGTCTAATAAAGCTCTACTAGGTCACTCCTCAACCTTCTCTGCTCCAACCTGAGCTTATCCAGCCTTTTGTCATTGCTGAAATGCTCCATCCCAGGCAACATCCTGATTCATCTCCTCTGCACCCTGTCCATTGTAAACACATCCTTCCTATGGTGCTCCAGCTGTGCCTCACCAAAGTCCTGTCCAGCTCCAACATCACCTACCCACTGTTGTAATCTATGCCTATACTGATAAAGGCAAATATCCTGAATGTCTTCTTAACTACTAACCTGTCCTGCTATCTTCTGGGATATGTGGACTAGCACCCTAAGAATTTCACTACTATCGGATCCTATGACTTTTTGTCTACATTTTTGACTTGTTATCCCTCCCCAAGTGCATTAAAACTATCAGACGTAGGCCATTTAGCACTTACTGTCTGCACCCCTGTTCAATGAGATTGCAGCTGATCTTATAATCTTCAACTTCACTTTCTCCCCCATAACCCTCGATTCCCCTTCCTAATTGAAAATCTCAGCCTTGAATATACTTCACAACCCAGCCTTGACAACCGTCTGCAGTAAAGAATTCTGCAGATTCACTCCTCTCAGAAAGAAGAAATTCCTCCTCATCTCCATCTCCAATGGGCAACCCCACCACCCCTCCCTTATTCTGAAATGATGCCCCTCTGGTCCCAGAATCTTCCACAGCAGAGGAAACAACCTTTCTCTGCATCTCCCCATATCATCCAGAAATCTTCATTGGTTGCCTCTGGTTCTTTTAAACTCCAATGCAAACAGGCTCGAACTACTCGACCTCTCCCTCATCAGACAGTCCCTCCATACCTAGGATCAGCTGACTGAACCTTCTCTGAACTTGCCCCATGCCCAGTCTATCTCTCCTCAGATACAGGGCCCCAAAACTGTGTTCCAGCTGTGGTCTAACTAGTGCTTTGTGTAGTTTTAACAAAGCCTTCCATCTTTTATATTCCATTCCCTTCAAAATAAAGACTATTATGACCCGCTGAACTTGGACGCTAGCTTTTTTGTGATTCATGGACAAGGAATCCCAATTCCTCAGGCCTGTAGCTTTCCATAGTCTTTCTCCGTTTAAATAATAAGTAATTATATCAATTTAACCAATGTGGTTCTGTGTCATGTATTGGTTAATCATTATAAGTGGGTCTGATCAAATGAACCATGTCATAAACACCCAACTAGCTCTCTGATCTTGGGGAAGGTGGTCGTCGCTGAATGGTATTATCACTATTAATCCGGAGACCCAGGTTCAAATCCTGCCATGGCAAAGGGTGGAATTTGAATTAATCAAAGCCATGAATTTTGAGTCTAATGATAACCATCACCAGAGGAGAACCACTTCTGGGTCACTAACGTCCTTTTGGGAAGGAAATCTGTCATTTTTACCTGGTCTTGCCTACATGTGACTCTATACCCCACAGCAATATGTTTGACTCTTAACTGCCCTCTGGGCCATTAGGAATTGGCAAAAAAATATTGTCCTAGCTGAGTGACACCCACATCTGATGAATAGATATTTTTTAAAAAATTAATGTTCTTGACGGAAAGCAATCTGTACCCAGTCTGGTTTTCCATGTGAATCCAGGCTCATAATGGAGTAGTTCGCTCTCAAAATGAGAATGTAATCTTTGGGCTGAATGGTTCATTCTTGCTCATTTTTTTTTAAAACTTAATGACCTCCTTCCTCACTTTCCCAGACTGATTCCTGAAATAACAAGACTGACGAATGAGGAGAGACTAAATCGATTAGGATTATATTGACTGGAGTTTGGAATAATGGGGTGGAGGGATCTCATAGAAACCTGTACAATTCTAAGACAGTAAAGCCAGGAGGATGTTCCCAAAGACGGAGCGGGGGTGGGGGTGGAGGTGGGGGTTGAGGTGTCCTGAACCAAGGGGTCACGGTCTAAAGGAGATGAGTAGGGCTGAGATGGGGAGAAACGTCTTCACCCAGAGAGTGGGGAGTCTGTGGATTTCTCTAACACAGAAGCTGTCATGGCCAGAACACTGAATATTGTTAAGGAAGAGTTGAATAGACTTCTTAGGGGCTTAAGGAAGTAAGTGGAGAAAAGGGGACTGAATTGAACGATCCTATTGAATGGACAGAGCAGGCTGGAAGGGGTGAATGGCCTACTCTTGCTCCTACATGCTCTGTCCTTCAGCCCCTTTGTTCAAGGGAAATTAGAAAAATGGTCAGAAAGTGCAATAAATCTTGGATTAAGGCAATGTCTATTCCCTTGTAGCAAGAGTGTGACAGTCGTGTGACTTACGCGTCATTCATGCACCTTGAAACAACAAGTGACCGAGAGGCGAGTGCCAGAGGGGAGGGAGAAAATGGCTTGTCCATCTACTAGAACTTTCAGAGGAGGGAGGCACAGAGATGTGCTGCCCCTGCTGATGAAGAAGAGAAGTTCCTTCTGGTGGCAGGTAGGGCTCTGTTCATTTGTCATCTTCAACTGAAGAATGGACCAAATCAACATGGGAACTTCACATCAGAGAAATGGTGTCTGGTTTTTCTCTCATTCTAGAACGCAATTAGTTCCCCAAATGCTGTGCACATATCCCTAACCCCTAGCAGCTGTAGATGAACGGGATGTCTTCTGTCCAAAACTATGGTTTAACATCTTCACCCAATTCTAAATCCTCATGTTTGGGACCAATGTAACAATGGACTGCTGGCTCGTATAGAGTCATGCAGCACAGAAACTGACCCTTCGATCCAACTTGTCCATGCCAACCAAACTTCCCAAACTGAACTCACCCCACCTGCCTGTGCTTGGCCCATATCCCTCCAAACATTTCTTATTCATCAACTTATCCAAATGCTCTTTAAATGTTGTAACTGTACCCGCATTCATCACTTCCTCTGGAAGTTCATTCCATACTTGAACAAATCTGTAAAAAAGTTGCCCTCATGTCTTTTTTAAATATCTTTATCTTCTCACATTAAAAATATGCCTCCTAGTCTAAAAATCCCCCACCCGAGGGAAAAGATGCCTTATCTATACCCTTCATAATTTTATAAACCTCTGTAAGGTCACCCCTCAATCTTCTATGCTCTAATGCAAATAGTTGCAGCCTCTCTTTATAACTCAAACCATCCATTCCCCATAACACATTGTAAATCTTTTCTGCACCCTTTCCAGTTTAATAATATCCTTCCTATAACAGGACGGCCAGAACTGCACACAATACTCCAGAACGGGACCTGATCACACGCACCCGAGAAGTTTGTGTGAAGCTCGGGAAGTGATTGTTGGACCCCTTGCTGAGATACTTGCATCATCGATACCCACAGGTGAGGTGCCAGAAGACTGGAGGTTGGATTACGTGGTGCCACCATTTAAGAAAAGTGGTGAAAAAAAAAGCCTGGGAACTATTGACCAGGGAGCCTGACATCAGTGGTGGGCAAGTTGTTAGAGGGGATCTTAAGGGACAGGATTTACATGTATGTGGAAAGACAAGGACTGATTAGGGATAGTCAATGTGGCTTTGTGCTTGGGGAATCATGTCGTACTAACTTAATTGAGTCTTTTGAAGAAGTAACGAAGAGGATTGATGAAGACAGAGCAGTGGATGTGATCTTTCTGGATTTCTGTAAGGCATTCGACAAGGTTCCGCATGGTCGACTTGTCAGCAAGGTTACATCACATGGAATACAGGGAAAACTAGCCATCTGGATACAGAACTGGCTCGAAGGTAGGAGATAGAGGGTGGCAGTGGAGGGTTGCTTTTCAGACTGGAGGCCTGTGACCAGCGATGTGTCACAAGAATTGGTGCTGGGTCCATTTTTGCCATTTATATAAAATGTTTGGATGCGTACATATGGTTAGTAACTTTGCAGAGTACAATGGGACCTTGGTCAGATGGGCTGAGGAGTGGCAGATGGAGTTTAATTTAGATAAATGGGAGGTGCTGCTTTTTGGAAAGACAAATTAGGGCAGGACTTATTCACTTAATGGTCAGGTCCTGGGGAGTGTTGTTGAACAAAGTGAAGTGCAGGTTCATAGTTCGTTGAAAGTAGAGTTGCAGGGAGACAGGATAATGAAGAAGGCGTTTGGTATTCTTGCCTTTATTAGTCAGTACATTGATGATAGGAGTTGGGAGGTCACATTGCAGCGAAACAGGACATTGGTTAGGCCACTTTTGCAATACTGTGTTCAATTCTGGTCTCCCTGCTTTAGGAAGCATGCGGTGAAACTTGAAAGGGTTTGGAGAGGCTGAATAGGCTGGGACTAATCTCCCTGAAGCTTCGGAGGTTGAGGGGTGACATTATAGAGGTTTATAAAATCGTGAGGGGCATAGATAGGTAGAATAGTCAAGGTATTTTCCCCAGAGTAGCGGAGACCAAAACTCGAGGGCATAGGTTAAGGTGATCGGGGAATGATTTAAAAGGGACCTAAGGGGCAACTTCTTCATGCAGAGGGTGGTGCTGTATGAAATGAGCTGCCAGAGGACGTGGTGGAGGCTGGTAAAATTACAACAGTTGAAAGCATCTGGATGGGTTAGGCATGAATAGGAAGAGTTTAGAGGGATACTGGCCAAAAACTGACAAATGGAACTAGATTACTTTCGGATATCTGGTCAGCATTAAGGTATTGGACCAAAGGGTCTCTTCCTATGTCTCCAAGAGGCCACACAATATGTCCCGTACTGTGAATGTAAGGCTTTAAGAGATTTAGTCAAGAATATGCAATAGTTGAATAAGGTTTCATCCATGCTACGGATGTCCACCTGTCTGACAGAAAGGGGAGGTTTTACTGGCAATCTCATCGGCCTTCCCATTGTAATTTCATGAGGGGACAGTCCAGTTCTCCGACTAGGACTGGACCTCAATAACATGAGAGCAATCTGCAGTGGCT